AAAAAAAATTAAAAAAAATATATAAAATAAAAGTGGTGACCATCTAATAAGAGTTGGCTCTCCCTATCTCTGCCCGGCCACCAGCATTTTAGCGATAAAGGAGATGAGATGATCTGGGTCACAGACAGAGAAGGTGTGAGAGGGGTAGCCCTGGGTGCTGATTCCACGATGGACGGCCACCTTCTCTCCGGCAAAAGTGCAGACCAGAGGGCTGTCCTGCTGCACCATGCCTGAGCGCTGGCTCCTTTGTCACCAGACCTCTGTGTCCTCATGGATAAAACGCGAGGGTGGGGATGTGCTGCTTGTGGAAGGGTGATGATTATGCACGTTCTTCAAGCAAAGAGCTTCCTCTCTTGACCAACTGGCAGATAATTTCTTTATCATCTCTATCGTATTTAAAGAGAATTCCACAGGTGGGAGGCACAGAACAACGTTATGCTTTCTCCCTGTTTAAACCCATTCAGTGGGGTTAGTTTTTTTGTTTCCCACCCACTTAGGATGAAATCCAGGAGAAGTCAGGGTTGGCAATATGGCCACCACAGGTGTTCCTCCCTGAGCCGGGTGCTTTCTGGAGTCCTCTGCAGGCCCCCCTGGATCTGTGACCTATGGCTTTAGAATGCTCCTCTGGTTGGGCTGCTGGCTGCTACCCCTCAGACACAGCATTCCAGAATAAACATCAGTCTCTTCCTGTCGAGGTTGCGTCTTCCTGCCAGTGGTCCCTGGGGCAGTGGTTTTATGCAGGGGCTCCCTTCACCAGAGACCTACATCTGGACCTTGGGAAACACTTTCCATTTGTTTCTAAAATCTCCAGGAGTGGAGTTATTCCCTCCCCTATGGCCTGCCATCAGCAGCCAATAGCCTTGGACTTTTCCACGCCGTGTCCTGCAATGGTCTCATGTGCGGTTCCTCTTCTGGTGTGTGAAACTTGATTAAGCTTGTTGCCTCTCACACTGCTGTTTCAGGAAGGCGGTGCCTTTCTCTGTGGTGGGGTTAGGCAAAGGCAGCAGAGTATTTCCAAAGGTTTTGTGCAAGGCTAGTGTTACGTCCACAGAATAGATGGCCTCTTCACTCCGCCTTTTGCTCTTCTGCTGGATGTTTAGGACATCAGAGCGCAACATAAACATCCGGGTGGCTTCCTCATGGACCACCCAGAAGCGGCCCACGCAAGCCTTGAAGCCTCTTCCCTGAATGTGCAGTCAGATAACCTTGGGCCAGCAACAGGGCTCTCATGTTGACACTGCTCCTGATCTCTGGGGAAGGCTGGTGTCAAACTGGATGGCAGGCCAGGAAGCCCAGTGCCCGGACCCTGGCCCAGACCTTGCTCTGTTTGAGCACACCTGGGGGCATCTGTCATGGCGACTTTGGGGACGGTGACATCCGGTACTTCTTGTACTCTGACTCTCTGGAAAGGAGATCTTGGAGACTCTTGATGGAATTGGAAGATAGCTGTGGCCAGACTAGCACAGGCACACAATGTATATATCTTCAGGTCAAGAGCAGGACACATTGCTGTACTCGGCAAATGGGCTCTCCTTGTGGTTAACTAATACTTTCTATTAGTTAGTGTTAACTCTCTCCAGTTTTTAATTTCAGATATTGTATTTTTCACAGCAGAATGTTCGGTTTATTTCTTGTACGGAATCTGATTCCTGCCAAAATTCTCCACCTTGTCACCCATTTTCTTAAATATATTACCTACAGTTAATATATTGTCTTTGAGACAACATCTGGGTCTTCTGTGGGTTTGTTCCTATTCCCTTCTGTCTCATTTTTTTTTTCATCCTTGCTTTCGTTCCTTTG